TGCAAGTAAGTGTATGGAGAGATTACCAATACCATATGTCATTAGGTAATTATGAATTAAAACAAAGAGATACCACTATCTCATTGTTGAATGAGAATGGCAAATTCCAAAATGCTGACATCACCAAATGCCAGCTAAAATGTGAAGTGACAGGAAGACTTATTTATTGCTGGTGAGAATACAAAATACCAGTCACTTTGGAAGACAGTTGGGCAGTTTCTTACAAAGCTAAACATACTCTTATCATACAATCCATTGATTATCCTCCTTGGTATTTACTCAAATAAGTTGAAGACATCTGTACATAAACCTGCACGTGGATGTTCATACCAGCTTTATTTGTAATTGTCCAAACTTGAAAGCAACCAAGACATCCTTCAGTAGGTGTATGGAGAAATAAATTGTGGTATATCCAGACAATGAAATACCATTCACCACTAAAAAGAAATGAGCTATTAAGTCATTATAAGACACGAGAGAAACTTAAATGCATATTACCTAGTAAAAGAAACCGATCAGAAAAGGTTACATGGGGTATGATTCCAATGATATAACATCTGTAAAAAACAACACTACGGGCTGTGCCTGTGGCTCAGTGGGTAGCATGCCGGCTCCATATACTAAGGTTAGTGGGTTCAAACCTGGCCCCAGCCAACAAATATAGCTAGGCGTTGGGTTGGGGGCCTATAGTCCCAGCTACTCAGTAGGCTGAGGCAAGAGAATCACTTAAGCCCAAGAGTTTGACGTTGCTGTGCGCTGTGATGCCATAGCACTCTGACAACTTGAGACTCTGTCTCAAATTTAAAAAAAAGAAAAAAGAAAAAACTATGGAGACAATAATGGTTGTCAGGAGTTGGGAAGGAAGAAGGAACAGGAGAAGCACAGATGGATTTTAGGGCAATGAAAGCATTCTGTAAGTCACTTATACATGTCAGTTGTAGTCCCCAAGGCCCTGGCCATACATGGGTACAGGGTTGTGGCCTGGCCTATTAGGAACTAGGCTGTACAGTGGGAAGTAAGTGGTAGGTGAGTGAGCCAAGCTCCATCTGTATTTACAGCTGTTCCCCATTACTCACATCACCATCTTAACGCCATCTCCTGCCAGATAAGCAGTGGCATTAGATTCTTATAGGAGCATGAAGCCTACAGTATAACACACATGTGAGGGATCTAGGCTGTGTCCTCCTTATGAGAATCTAACGTCATGTCTTTCAACCTTTTTTAATCTCATGGCACACTTGAACTTACAGTTAAACTTCTGTGGCATACTTAAATTATGTTGATCCAAAAAAAAAGAGCAAAAAAAGAATGTACTTACTATGCTTTGAATTCATTTTGAAAATCATTTAATGAATGATATTTAAAAATTTTCCCTGCATACTTGAGGTTGTCTCTTGGCACACCAGTGAGCCACAGCACACCAGTTGGAAATCACTGATCTAATAATGTCTGATGATCTGAGGCGGAGTTGAGGTGGTAGTGTTGGCCCTGGTGGGTGCAAATACAGCTCATCATTAGCAGAGAGGTTTGACTGCACAGAGACTATAATAAATCAATAGCTTTTAGATCATATGAAAACCCTATCAGTGAGTGGCACGTCACAAGCTGCATCTGGTGGCAGGGTTTATAGGAGCAGCACACTCCAGGTGTCATGTTTTCTATCACCCTCAGATGGAACTATCTAGTTACAGGAAAATAAGCTCAAGGTTCCCACTGAAGTAAAAGGAAGACTTATTGTGAGTTGTATAATTATTTATTATACGAGGTAGTGATAAAGTTTGTGTGCAATTTAAAAGGTAATAATAATAGAACTAAAATGTACAATAAATGAAATGCACTTGAACCAATTCTAAACCATCCCTTCCCCCAGTCCATGAAAAAAACTGTCTTCCACAAAAGTGGTCCCTGGTGCCAAAAAGGTTGGAGATGGCTGCATGTCAGTATATATGTCAAAACTCACAGTTTGGCAACATCAAGAGTGAGCCCTGGCTAAAGTGCCTGTAGCTCAAGTGGCTTAGGCACCAGCCACATACACTAGAGCTGGTGGATTCAAATCCAGCTCAGCCTGCCAAACAACAATGAGAACTACAACCAAAAAATAGCCGGGTATTATGGCAGGTGCCTATAGTCCCAGTTACTTGGGAGGCTGAGGGAAGAGAATTGCTTAAGCTCAGGAGCTGGAGGCTGCTGTGAGCTGTGATGCCATGGCACTGTACCCAGGGTGACAGCTTGAGGCTGTCTCAAAAAAAAGAGTGAACCCTAATGTAAACTTTGAACTTTGGTTGATAATGATGTGTCAATTTTAGTTCATCAGTTATGACAAATAGATACTAAAGTGCAGGATGTTGATGACATGGGAAGGTATGCATGCATGGTGGGAGGGGTGTAGAGAAATTCTCTGTGCTTTCCACTTAGCTTCACTGAACCTGAAACTGCTTTGAAAAAAATTCTATATCTATAGAAAGATAAATATGATTATGTCATTGAATCTATGCTGGGGACTAGATAGTCTTGGATGATGCACAAAAATGATCAGATAAACCACATATGCCAAACCTAGGTTCTACTTCCTGAATTATGAATGCTGAGACACTTACGTTAAAGTCTCCTGGGATCTCTTTTAAAGACTAACTTGCTGTACCTTCTGAAGCAGAATTTCTCAGTTCTGGGAGTTGGTAATCGGAAGTTTATCAAGTTACTTGGGTTGTTTATATGTGCCTTGGGGTTTAAGAATCACTCTTCTATTCATATCCACACATTTTTGGTACAAAGGCAGGTGCCAAACTGATTTGAAATAAATTTTAATGAATTTACCTTCTTATTAGGAATAATCAACAATCTTAAAATATATGAAAAATCATTAAATTATCCACATATTACAGTACTTTTCTCAAACCACCCATAAATTAATGAAACAAGCCATGTAAATAATACTGAAATAGACTTATTAGCGGAAATACATATATATCTTTGGACACGTTTTATTAAGAAGGAATAAAAACAGAACAATTTGTGATTTGAGCAAGCCCAATACACACACAATAAAAAAAATCACATACAGGAGTGAAATCACTGTAACATTATCTTTACTGTAGGAAATACTGAAAATATCTTAAATGACAATAGACAGAAATGTTTTGTGTTTAAATTGGGGAGAATTATGAAGCAACTGCTTAGCTTTGTGTGTTCATCTGATAAGAGGACAGCTAAATGTATCCTGCCCTTACTTCCTGTTTCTATTTTTAAGAATACCACAAGCAGTTGTTCTATAATAATATGTCTTTTTACATAAGCTATCCATAAATGTAGTTTGGCTGAATGCCTGTTTAGAATTATTTGCTTAAAATTCTATTTTCATGGCATTCTACTGATAGAATGATATAAAAAAAAAAAAAAGAGCTACCAAAAATAACATCAAAATAATATCTGCAGCCCCAAAACTAAGGAGCCAAAACTTAACACCAAGGTCACATAAGCAAAGCTCCACCAAAACCTCTATTTTGTCTTTGTGTGTGTGTGTACTCCACTCATACTCTCATACCCATAATTTCATCCATTCTTTTCTCTAATGACCCATTTACTCTAGTATTTTGTGCTTCATAAGCAAACTGAAAATGAAAGTCAATTTAATCAATTTCTCTTGTACCATTTCTTTAAGTCACCCACTCCGTCTATACACTAACACGCACACACATGCGCACATCACATTCATTTGTGCAGCAGCTCACATATTTTTTCAAATGGATCCGAACATTTTCTATCCACTTTGTATGAACACTATGGCATTATTTAGTAGCAGCACCTGAGAATTCTAGAATGGTTGAATAAAATTGGAGGCTATTTTTGAAATAATAAGACTCAAGAACTCTGGAAATTTAGAAAATCTGAAACCATCTCTTGCTATACTCTTATGTGGCTGCCACCTCTGTTTTTTTAAATGACGCTACCAAACTGTAATACATCACTACATACGACTTGCCCCTATTCCTCAGTAAGAAGGAAAGCAACACAGATGTGGTGAATGTAACTATGTTGACCCCTACTAACCTACTAAATGTTCTGGCCTTTTCTCCATTCCATTAATTGTGCTTTTAATTTGCTATCAAATCAAACATAAAGCCGTTTAAGCCATTAATCTTCGTTTATCTAATAATACCTATTTTCACTAATTTAAGTTTATTCAGATGCCCACAATTATGTTAATCCAGCAGCATTATGTTACATTCATATTTATTAACCCAAAAACCAAGTCACCACTTTGCTCATGAATTTGCTATATATTGATTGCTCTATAAATACCTATATTTGTTTAGCAATCAAACAGGATAGATAGAAGCATTTGTGTGCCAGGTATTGGAAACATTCACCCCACATCAATTGATGTATTCTATAGATTTACCACACCACTTATTCTTTCCATTCTTTTCTATATTAAATCTAAAATGATTTCTTCTCTACATTTAAGAAACACCAGTTTTACAGCTTGACATAGGAAAATTTCTTATTATGCAAGATTGGCTGGAAATATACAATCATTGCTATATTTATGGTTAGTCAAATTGGGACTTTTTTTCTCCTTCAAGAGTGTGTATTGAACTGATCCAGATAACACAAACCTCTCTTCCCTACAAGTCTCTCTAGTAACTCCAAAGTAAAGGTTGAGTTAATACGTTGGGTAAAATGCAGCTATGTTTAAATAAGTCACCAGTCTTATGTTTAAATAGTACTCAGTCAATGAGTACTATTCTGCTACTCATGATAGCAATCAATTTTCCAGAGAAACTTTTGTTTTAAAAACTATAGTATAAAAATCTCCCAAGGAAGTTTCCAGGAGAAATTTTAATCATTTGTCCTGTGGACCCTTGAGACCCAAGTATGAACACGAACCTCTTTAATGTGAAAACTCTCAAGTTAACAAATATTTGGCATCCTTATGGGTCCAGACAATGGTGTTGACATGCTGATCGTTCAGTGATAAATGGTTGGAGTCAGGACAGGAGTTAACTTCTCACACATATGGAGGCATATTCTGTCGGTGTTTCTTGTATATTTCTTGCCTGTTTGGGCTTCATTCCAATGATGGAATGGTTCAGGGAAGCATAAACAATACCCTGCTTGTTTTCTTCTAGGCATGGCTGAGAATAAACTTCAGACTCTTCCTGCATTCTGAACCAAGTTTCAGGGTCATTATCATAAATTCCAGTTTCTGATGGCAATGTTTGAGAATTTTGTCCAGTGCCCTCTTCCATTTGCTCACTCTTAAAAAGCTGGGGAACATCAACCTATGAAAGAAAAAAGAAAGGTTTCAGGTGCCACGCAAGCCCGTGATAGTGCATGTCTCTTAGTAAACTATGAGTGAAAAGAAATAATCTGCTGCTCCTCACATATACTGCTGATGACTATATTTTTAGCAGTCTTTCAATTTTTTTTTTTTGGCTGGGGCTGGGTTTGAACCCACCACCTCTGGCATATGGGGCTGGTGCCCTACTCCTTTGAGCCACAGGCGCTGCCCCTAGTCTCTCAATTATTAAAGGATGAAAGTCTTGAGAATCAAAATGTTCCTCCCAAATAGTTATGCCCTGCTTTATTTCTGATCACTTTCAAAGTCACGGTACACTTTTAAATCTCCCTTCCAGATGAAAGCCCAGCTAAAATTATGGAAAATGTGTAAAATGTATCATGAAAACACACAGGTCAGAATTAATGTAGTTTAGAATAAAAAGATAAAGCAGAATAGATACCCTCATTAAGACACAGAAAGAATAAATACAATGAGTTATCCAAGATGCATTATTATAATATGGGACCTAGAATTGGAAAATTGATGTCTGTTTTAGAAGGATAAAGCTAAAGAAAATTCTAAAATATTATTCCAGTTGTTACTTTTATCACAGTAAAATTCTTACAATTTCAAATAGAGTCAAATATCTTAGATATTTTGAGAAAGAAGTAAATTTATGGAAACCAAAAATAAAATGAATCTTGATGTTTTCTCACTCTTTTCAGTTATTTGTTAGCCACTCCTAGCAATAGAAGGATCTACCGGGTAAAAATGAAGGTATTGTGTTAATTCTAGGGATTGTTATTTCAATGTTTTAAATCCTAATTCTGCCAGTCAATTTATGTTCTTGAAGTTTGGCCTAACTCCTTTAAGACATCAGGTCCAGGCTCGGCGCCTATGGCTCAACGGGCTAGGGCGCCAGCCACGTACACCTAAGGTGGCGGGTTCGAATCCCCAGCCTGGACCCGCCAAA